GCAAATATTGTTTCAAGTTCCTGAGAAAAAATAATTGAAAGTATCCTAAGAAGCAATTAAAGATTTTCCTAGTTAAGTGTAACATAAAAATTAATATTATTATGATTGATTTGACAAGTGTCACAATGAGAACTAGATTTTCAAAGCTGCTTTTAATAACTTAACTTCTTTCCACCAAAATAAAAAAATGTATACATTTGTTCCTTTTAAAAAGGTTCACCTTAGTAATGCAAAGGTGCAAGGCTGGCCAGTGTGTGTGTGGGTCCTGTGAAACCCTAGTGCGAGACATGACTTTGACTAACGTTGCAGCTGCATGTAAATGGCATCATGCCGCACGCCAATTGCAATCCCAACCCAAAACCCAAACCCAAACCCAGGCCACACCAGAGGAGACCCATGCCGCACGTTTCCCCGTAATCATCCATTATCCTAATGCCAGGTCCTAGTCCAAGTCCCTCGAGTCGCCGGACCATGTGTATGTGTGTGTAGGTAACACTGGTCGATTGGATTATGCCTTTAGTTTGCGTACACTGCTCGACTTTTAGTGGCCTTCGCCAGCGACATTTATTAATGATGCGGCCTGGTATTTTATTTTGGCCCACTTCCGGAGCCCAAACGATTTGGGTAATCGCTAGCCGCAATCGTTTTAATTGGCCCATTTCCAGGAGCAGGAGGAGGACACCGGCAATCGATAGTATAAAACCTGTAAAGTCGAAAAGGATAGAGGACCCGACCCTTCATGTCCCTTTTGTGCGTCACTGCAATGAATCCCCCCACTCGGCACATGTAATTTGAATGTTTGATTCAATTTTCTAGCCCAGAAATATTCGTGTACCTTCGGCGACATCTGCTGCGATTCTCAGACAGCAGGTCCTGAAATCAATACTCATAAATTAAAGTCATAAAATGGCAAGCATACAGTAAATATAAATAGAAGCCAGACACGAATTTTCAAGTGCCGCCGTCAGGCTACAAGGTGGAATCAATCGATTACCTGCCTGGCATTTTACGGCTGAACTTTATAAAAGGATATGGCCAGAAAGGACAAAGTTTAAAGCCCAAGTAGGTAATCAGGCGCTGGCCATCAGCTTCTAAATCAAATGAGAGACTCGAGTTCAACGAGTCTGTCCTGTAATTAGCGAGTGTGTGTGTGCACAGTTGGGGAAATCAGGAGCAGGACAGGTCGGACAGGCCTGCGATGGCAGGGCACTTGACAGCATCCGCAGTAGACGCGACCTCCAGGCCCATTTAAACGTTCACAAACAATAAAAATCGCCCTGCATAATACATGAGGTCGAGTTCCGACCCCGTGAAAGACATACAGTCAGTCAGTCAGACAGACAGGCGAAATAAGTTGGCGGAAGTCGTGGTTGATTTCCGAGCGGAAAACTCTGAAAGGGGAAAAACAAGTTTGCATTTGAAGCGGCAACCATTTGCTGCTGACTCATTACGGATCAGATTGTTTACTGCTTAATCCGGACTTTTCGCCTATTATAATTTCATTACAGTTCCGCTCTAGTCTGTAATTATGAATAGAGTTTCGAGTTTAGCATTCAGTTGACCAGAATAGATTTATAAACGCTTAAAGATTGTTAAAAGTTAATGAAAAATATATACACTTGTCGAGATTCCGCTTCCGTTTATTAAGTTTCATCTTCTATATTGTTTGTTGCTCAAAGTCTTCTTCTTGATCGAGGAATGAACGAATAAGTGCTACAAATTCCGTGGCGATTTGCAGTTCACTTGGATTCCCAAAGTGAAAGAAACTTCTAGCAGAGTTGAACATCTGTATCTTGAGGTTTTGAAGATTGTAGAGGCATTCGTAAGTCTCCTTCCCAATCTCATAAAAGTAGTTGAGAGCGATCTGGTATTCCAAAATCCTGTCTTGTTCGTAGAGTAAGTTGAGCATTGCGGCGGCGTGTGTATACACACCCAAGAGCTGTAGGTATCGACGTTTGACGGCATAGTACTCCGGCAATGTGTTTTCAACATTTTCCTTGATGCAGGTCAGCATCATATGCAGTTCGGACGGTCCCAGGTTCAATTCGTTGGCCATTATATTATTGATAATAAAAACTTGAATGATGTTACTTCCCTTGATATGAAAGTGAACTGATTTGAAGTAGTTGTAAGCTGAGCGTGAGGTACTTTCAAAGTGACATTTACCTCCAATGCCTGCTTTGTTTAATTTTTTTAGAAGAAATTTCTTTCTATTATTATTAATTGTACATTGTTGAAACCCCATTTCTTTCGTGAAGCTGCGGCACAATTAACTTTGCCATCTCCAATTGCATTTGTCATGCACAGAAAACGCCCCCGAAGACAACAACTGTCACTCGAAACTGCAAGGTGTAGCAAGGTGTAGCCACATAAGGAAGGGCTTTCTCAAAGGAACCGAGAGTATCAAGTTGTTATGTTGCACATAATTATATCAGAGGAGCCGCGAAAGTTTCCCGGCAATTTCGTTGACTGCCAGTCAGTGGAAGAAGCAGGAGAAGGAAGAGTAACTTTTATGAGATGCTGACACCGACAGGCGGCTAATTAGATATTCTATCGTCCTATTTAATGCACTTGTCGTGGCATCCCTGCATTCTTGGCATTCCTTCCTCTAGTCGAGACTCTCTCTCCCTCTGTTGCGTGCACAGAGACCTAAAGAATTCCAATTTAAATCGAATTTTCGGCTTGGCATGTGAAGGGCATGTGGCATTCTCTCTATTTTCCGGGCCAAAGCCTGGCCAAGTGTGTCAATGCAGTGACTCACAGAGCTTGACATACAAATTTGTGGTACATTTATTGGCTTGTTTGGTCAGCCCAGTCCGTCCACACACACACACACATATGTAGAAGTGCGGGCGGGCCAAAGGGCAAAAGATATTTAAATGTTAAGCTCGCTCAAAGTCGGGGCCATTGACACAGATATTTGCACAGCTGGTGAGCTGAGACCGGACTTTTGGTTCCGCCTCTGGATTCAACTCCTGCGGTCGAGTCTCTGCACAGAGAGGAAATTCGGGGGCTAAAATCAACTAACTAAATCGAAAATATAGGAAGTTTTCACACCTCTGTCTGTAGCATCTACTTATTTCCCTGCGTGTGCTTTAATTTCCTTTATTTATTACACATTACAAGCCCAATTGCTGGGCACAGCTGGCCAGGCCAGGACAGGCTAGGTCTTGGCCCCGAAACGATATCTTATGCAAAAAGTTGGAAACTTTAAATAAATAAACTTTGAGGCGGAGGCTGGCCCGGCACACACGTAACAATTTGCGAGGTAAACATGGCTTTATTTTAGTTTCAATTTTCGCTTCGTTATTTTTGCGCACACACACACAAAGGGCGGCTGTTTGTTTTTAGATTGCTGCAGCGCGTTGCATGTTGTCTTTGCCGCCATAGTCGTCCTCGTCCTCGTCCTCGTCCTCATCGTTGTCGTCGTCTTTTTGCCGCCATTTTACGCTCGTTATGGCAACACTTTGGCTCAAAAGCAAACGCCTGACGATGGCGAACACATCTCAAACTCAAACGGCGCGGCGGCCGCGTTTGCACAGGGAAAAAGGGGCCGAAGGAGGAGCATCTCCTCCTGCGGGCTGCCTCGATGGCTGGCTGCAAAAAATCATTTCAAGCAGAAACAACAAGGGAAATGCGGAAAACGCCTTCGCGCCTTGCCTCGCCGTTTGTCGTCTGTGTTTGCCAGCATTCGCTTCGTTGACTGGCAACTTTCGTCGCCTCGGCCTTCGTCCTTGGTCTCCTGTCCGACCTGCCCCACCCCGCCCCCAGACCAGGTCCTCCCACATGATTGACTGCAGTGCGACGTGTCTCTTTTCAGAGAGAACAAAATATGATCTAAGCCACTGATTCATATTCGTGATCTAAAAATACACCTTAAAATGCACTTTGAACTTATTTTACTCTAGGGAGTTTGCACTCTGATTTCAGTAAAGTGAATTCTTGCATTATATTTTGGTTATAGGAATTGACTAGAACCTTTTCCGTTTTCCTTAGAGGAAAGAAATCTCTGAAATTATTAAATTGCTAGATTTCATTCCATATAAATTTTAGATTCTCTCGAATTTTATTTATTTTTCAGTACCTAAGGGTATTTATATTTACAATTTTCTAGTCTATGGTTTTTTCCTCCTGTATTCTTATCTCACAACTCGTCTAGGGAAATAATTTTCCCGCTTTCCCAGGAGATGCATGTTGCATTTACTCTTTTTTTAAAGTCTGCAGTATGTCTTCTGTCGCTGAGATGTGTTTACATGATTGCGCACTCGTCCTGTGTTTGCCTTTTTCACATTGCTGGCAACATCCTTGCTGCATTAGCACTCGAGTGTTTGCATTTCCTTTGAGCCAAATCGCAGCAAATTATATTTTTATTGATTTGGTAAACATTTGAGCGAGATTTGTGCGATAAAGGCGCTGTGAGAGTGGCAAAGTGAATTAATTTTCCCACTGGGGAGACTTTGCCTTTGCCTGTGCATACTGCATATTGCGCATACGCCACCGACATGCTGGATTTAGATACCGCAGAATAAAAAAACCAGAGAAAAACAACAACAAGTCAAGAACGGCGGTAGCAACAACTTTTCGCATTTACCAAAAAACTTTTCAGCATTTTCTTGTTCCCTCTTTTTGCTTTTGCTACATGGCCATAGACCCAGTGAGTAAATTGTAAATGAAAAAGTTTTTATGTTATTCAGTGTTTTCAGTGGGCGGAACCACTGTCTAGCTGCCGCTGCCGCTGCCACTCCTCTATCCCCCCTCGTCAGCTGTCTGCCCCTCTGTCCCCTGTCGGCGTCGTTATTGCTGCATTATGTCTATTGTTGTCTATATACATTTCTGTCGAAAGTAATTGTAAATGCTGTTCATAGTTTGACTGTCGACGTGATGCCCCACTTCCCTTTCCCACTCCCCCCACTTGATTTGAGAGTTTTCCATTGCCCAGCTTTCCCAAGGACTTATTTTAAAGTCAATATCATGGCTTAAATTCCTGAATTCATTTCAAGGCGAAACACAAAAGTGTGGCAAAGGGAATATAAAGTATAAAGCGAACAATAAAATATGTTAATGCACTCAAAGCTCAAAGAAAGTGTGAACGGCAAAAACAAAGTAATGCAACCGAGTGCTCAAAACGTAAATTAAGTGACAGTAAATAAAGCAAAAATCGAAATTAAGCAACGTTTGAAGTGGCGCCCGACAAGGATACGGCCGCGACATGACCCGCTTTCGCATAAAAAACCTGAAAATCCTCTCCTGCTGCCTCAGCCTCTGGGTGGCGCTCTTCGGCGGAGCCCTGCACCTGGCCCAAGGCAGTGAGTTTCCCGAGCGCGAATGCTGCGACCTGACCACCACCTCCACGGTGGGTCCGCTGCCCATGCCGCCCGCCGCGCTGCCCACCGACAAGTCACTCTCCTCGGCCACCACGGCCTTGGAGACGGATCTGGCCATAGGACGATCGGGTAAGTGAATGCTACCTGTGTGGAATTTTGATAATTTTAAACAAGTAGGCTCTGAACTGTTAATCAAGTCTTTTCAAAATAGCAATTTCATAGCGAGTAAACAAGTATTTTTACGCTCTAAGTTCATTTTCCATTGTTTATCGAAATGAGTAATGTGAATAATTTCAACATGCTGAATATGAGGGAGATAATGGAAGAGTGCACTGTTGAAAACCAAGAAAACCAAGAAATGGAGATATGGAAAGCCAATACACTAATGTTAGTTAATCAGTTTCACCAATTTCAATCTGAAGTATTGGAGTTTAAAAAATCCGCAGAGAGTAAAAAATGAGAAATACAAGCCAATAGTGATCAGTGGTAAAGAATATAATACAAAGAAAATTATTTAGTTCCTTACCGTCTTCATAAAGAATATTTTTAGAATTATGTTAACTCGGGGTATCTCTTTGTAGATTCATTACCAGAGATACTCTAAATTTGATATAAATTAAAACATAGATTTGTTAGGTATAACCTCGATTTTTGGCTGTTTAAAGAACACAGGGGTCAGTGTGTGGTTAGTGGCCGAGTGCCTATTCATAGTGCCACTAAAAATGGCCATGTCTAATTGCCAAGCGATATTTAATGGCTCAATGAGCAGGAGGACGCCACCCGAGGGCTGGCCAGATAGTGGAGGACGACATCATCATCATCATCATCACTTCCGCTCCAATTAACACGATGACCTTTCGCCATCGATGCAGCTCCCCCGGGGGAGGGGGCACCACGATGGGGTTAACTACTATTTTGCCAGTTGTCCTGGCATAGGAGTAGTGGGAGCTATTTGAAATTCAAAGCAAACGTCAGCTGTAAAACAATTTATATTCACTTTGAATTGAGGTTTTGTTTCGCATTTTACTGTGTGTGTGGCCAGACAGACAGACGGAGGGGATAAAGTGTGGAATGTGTGCTGGTGTCTCGGTTTCTTGCTGCGAAACTTGACTCGTATTAAATGTTTGCTGAGCATCGCTACGTGCCGTAAACAGGGCCAACAACAATTGGCTCTCTGGCATACTAAGTGAATATAGCACTCGATTTCATAGCCCAACTTATAGAATATTTCTCAGACTGTGAGCTGCATCTGCAAAATGCATTCGCAACTGCACAGTTTTTGCCTGCTGGCAACAATTTCTAGCTTATATGTTACATGAAAAATTGTCAAAGCCAAATTAAAATACGGATAAAAACAAGAAAATTGATTAAATAATATCACTGGCTCTGGGCAAATGTTTACCAGCATTTTTTTTCGGTACTTTCAAAAATTACACAACAAGTTTTTATTCAGAGCAAAAAACTTTTTTTTTGCTGGCCAATAAATACAAGGTTTTCTCATTGTGAATGCATCTTTAAATGTCAAATTAGGCACAAATTAAAAATGTCAGTTGGAAAAGTTGAAGGCTCCACTTCACCGAAACTTCTCCGCCACTCTCCAACTCTAAAGGGGGAGCATTCGATTGGTTCAAGGAACTGGGAACTGGGAACTGGGAACTGGGCATTGAGTGCATTAACCCCACAACTGGTCCGAGTCGGGTTCAATACACGCACTTAGTGGCAGCTCCTGTCCCCGTAATTGAGTTTATTAAATAATCACAAATATCGATTGGCTTCGATTCAAACTGCTTGGCTTGCCACTTCAAAGGGTTGCGGCCGCTCTGTTGTATGAACAGGGCCAATTGCCCGTCGCAAATGCAGAATGCTGAGAAAAAAAGTTGATTATGCAACAAACTTGATTGACTGACGGACTGTCAGACGGAGACACACATTCGCAGACACATACAGGTACACACAGATTGGCAGGACAAATTAGTCATTAAAGGATATGCTCTCAATATGCCAGACGCATTGAGGCAGAGGAAGAAAGCTCAAAAGAACACACACACAACGAAATTAGGAATTATTGTTGATTTCTAGTGATTAATATAGAAAATGTAATATTTAATTTAGGTTTCTTTACAAGCTCACTACTTGATTAGCTTGGAAACCATAACTACCTCTTCGACCTTTGAACCATTTTGCAATTGAAGTTCGTTTAATATAACTTTTTCCTGTGCATTTCACAGGACGAAAGACGAAGAAAATTGCAGAAAAGGACATAGTCCTTACTGCAATGGCTTTGACGTTGAGGGACATAAAAATTTCCGTTCTATGTAAGCTGCTTGCCATTTTTTTTTGCTTCTTCCAACGCTTCTAACAATGTTCCTTGGACATATGGACGTTCGGGGGCTTGGATGTGTGTTGGTTGTGAGGATATGTAGGTGAAACGTGTGGAACGTCGAGAACATCTTGCAGTTTATGTATATAGCCTTTAGATTGAGTTTGCACGAATGTACACAAGTTGTTCGAATTCGCATTTGAATGGGAAATTTCTTTTAGTGGCCAACAGGAGGACGGATGTGCCTCCTTGAGTTGTGGATCCCCAGGATCTCTGTCCATCTGTCTGCATGCCCGTCTCTCTGTCTGTCTCTCTGTCTGCCTGCCTGTCGTTGGGCTTAGCCATGACATAAGATTTTAATCAGCATAAAATTTTCGTTATTCCTTCGATTGCCTTTCCCCGAACGAGAAAAAAAAAAAATAAAAGTAGAGTTGGTCAATGGAAAATGTAATTTCATATTTAACATTCGCTTTGGCCTCAACCTATTTGCATTCGATTTTTCCCATTTAAGTAAAAGTTGGTTTATTTTCATTGAAATTGGGAATTTTAAGTAACATGTTTTCGAAGTTAAAGTGGATAAGAAAGAGTTCTTTAATTTACTATAACCTCAAAGTAAAGTTTATGAAACCTTTTAAGGTAATTACCTTGTTTTTAGTTGGTATATACCTATTAAAGCTTTTAGAATAGTTTAATATTTAGTTTCCCTTTAAATTCACCAAACTCAAGTGTGTATTAAAGCTTGACCTTAAAGTTGTAAAGCTTTGTGTTGCCTGAAATGTTGTTGCAACCGCATTTCCTCGCTAACACGCTTACCCTTAAATCGCATCAATTTTAAACGCAACAGACACTTCACTTCGCACACACACACAAACACACACCCATGCACGGGCACAAACACTCGTAAGTTATTCCACCTTAATTATATTGCAACACCCCGACTGGAAACCCTTGCCCCATACCACACCATGCCACATCACCTCCACCACCCCCTTCGAACCGAACTCACACGATGCGATGCTCGACCCATTCCGACCCAATTCAAGGCACACAACGCAGGTGGCCAGGTGCCTGAAGGTCCATGTAACACAATGTTTTATATACTGCCCCTCTGTGTGTGTGTGTGTGTGTGAGAGAGAGTGTGTGTGCGAGAGTGTGTGTCTTTCCCCGTTCGCGTATGTGCGTGAATTAGTTATGAAGCCAAAGTCAAAGTGGGTCAGCAGCAGTTCTTCTTTTCCCGCTGCAATGGCCAGCAATGCGATTCCGTCTCCAGTTTCATTTTCAGTTTTCAGTTCCCAGTTCCAATTCGAGATCGAGTTCGAGTTGGAGCTTGAGCTTGGAGTCGAGTGTGGCCATATTTTTAGAGCGACGCCAATGCCAATTTAATGTTATTGCGTATACGTGCCGTTGGCCAGCATTATCAATAGTCCTGTGTGCACACAGAGAACAAAAGCATAACAATATCTTAAGTTTTGCATATAAATCTTGAGCTGCACACAAATCACAATAATCTTTCTTATATCTAAGAGAGTTAAATATATATTATTAAAAGATCAGTAAGTATCTGTTAATCCGTGAGATAAGCATTACATTTGAACGCAAGATCTTTATCAGCAAACAGGAAAAGAGTTTAATTTGAATATTTTTCCTGACACATTTCAATTATTCTGTGTACCAATCCATAAGATCAATTGTCCTGACTTTAATTCTCTCAGTCCTGTGCACCATTGTGCATTTACAGCAGTTAAAATTGTAATTAAATTCAACGCCCGCACATGTGTAATGCAAATTATGTATGCGTGTCACAGCCGGCTTGCCACAATAAAATGCAACATGAGAAGAGGAAACAACTGCAGCAGAAGCAGATGCAGCAGCAGCAGCAGCAGCAGTGAACATACATTTCAATTTGTAGGACACTCGACTAAATAAAAAAAAACAGTACAGAACAGAACTGAACCCTAGAGGAACAAGCCCTTGGCACTTAACCTTCTGCTTGAAGCAGACCGACTTGAGTTGGCGATGGTGATGGCATCCCGCTGCCCTGAGTGCGACCTTCATCAAATCAACGAAAGGTAGCTGCTTTTGCTTTCCACTCTTGGAAATGCTGCCGCTGATTCTGCTTCTGCTTCTCGCTTTTGCTTCTGCTGTTTGCCAGCCAAATTAAAAATTCAGCAGAAGACTGAGGGTGGCAACGACGACGACCTCAGTGCGATGCCAAAGGTTGTTCGCGGCTCTGGTAGTCGGTCTCGACCTGTCTCGATTTCACTTGAAATTGTAAAAAAATTGGGAGGACTCCAAGGGCAAAGGCAGCGAAAGGCAATGCATACAGCACACAGCAAAAAAAGGTAAATTAAAATTGTCTGTTTATTTGTACAAAATTCCGGCAAAGCAAAGAGCCAAATATGCTGACTCGTCGGTAGTCCTTTAAAGCCAGCTGAAGGTGTGTAAGAGAAATGGGGTGGCACAGGGGCGGATTCAAGGGGTTGTATTAAAGGGAAACACAAAATTGAGTTAAAATTGAGTTATAGTAACTATAAAAGAGTAAGCAAAAATTCAAAGCCTTACTATATGGTTAATTAAAAAACCTTTAAATATAAAGTGATTCTCTTCTGATATTTATATCCAAAAAAAAAAGACACCCGAATAAATCCTGGCGGCGCCTCTGGTTTCCATTTTGACTCTGCTGAAAGTCAAGGCTGCTAATTAAGTGCTTTTTTGAGGTTAAATACATATGTATAAGGAGCTTCGCTACAGTTACAGTTCGGGCTAAAGCTGGGATTTAACCCGATGATGCCGACTGTGCTGCGGCGCA